TGTATGGCACAACTCTTGGGGGCAGGACACAGTTATAAGAGGGGCTTTATCTAACAAATGCAATCAGTGTAACCTAATTCTTTGTACCCTCAATGAACCTGATACAATAAAAAGAAATTGCCTAATAAAATATTGAAAAACTATGATGCCACAAGGCAGTTTTCTTGACATGGTAAAGAATGTGCTTGACATTCAAAGCACTATGGCAACAAGACAGTATCCTCCAACATTAACTGTAAGTCCCCTGAACTCCTTACCTATATCACAAAAACCTGCCAGTGCAGAATACATTCCCTCAGGAAAGGAGCTCTGACGGGCAAGAAGGCATCGGGTTCCATCTGACACCAGAGTGATCACCACAGGAGACATCTAGGAAAGGAGGATGGAAACTGAGATGCTGGCACTTTGGAGACTGCTAATGGAATGAAGGAATGGATGATTAAAGAAAGTCTTTTAACTGTACAGGCTCCTTGCCCCAGGACAGAATCGTTGGTGCTCAGTCTTCTCAGATTACTGTGCTCTTAAAACAACACTTACCTGTGGATAATAGATGATATTATTGGAAGGGCACACACGCTTGCTGCCAGCCACGTTCTTCTTGGTGGGCTGCCCACTTCTGCTGCAGAACTGATGAGCATGGTGCCAACGGAGAAGGGCCTGAGCCTAGGAACACAAAGATGGGCCTAGTTTCACTGGAGGAATGTGGGGCTCACCTTTAACAGAACTGGGCTTAGAATCTAGAGCAATTCATAGGGAAATGCCAATCCCTTTCCAGCTCACCTGCTGTAAATGGTTATTAACTTTAAGCTTTAAGATAAGGAAACTATCTGAACATACTTCTCTAGCATCAGGAATCTGAATAAAAGCATATTTTAAAATATACTATCAAGTATTTAAAATACATAAAATATGTAAACACCTATGTACTCACTACCTAGCTTAAAAGGAAAACATTTCCAATATAGTTGAACACCCCCACATGCACTCCTCCCCAATAAAGTTGAAACATTTTTTTTCAATAAAAAATATTTGGCTCAGCACCTGTGGCTCAAGTGGCTAAGGCGCCAGCCACATACACCTAAAGTGGCGGGTTCGAATCCAGCCTGGGCCCACCAAACAACAATGATGGCTGCAACAAAAAAAAAATAGCCAGGCATTGTGGTGTGTGCCTGTGGTCCCAGCTACTTGGGAGGTGGAGGCAGGAGACTTGCTTGAGCCCAGGAGTTGGAGGTTGCTGTGAGCTGTGATGCCATAGCACTCTACTCAAGAGACCAGCTTAAGGCTCTGTCTCAAAAAAAAAAAAAATGTTCAGAGATTTCTTTCTTTTTTGTCATGGACTCTTCTAATAAGGGATTTCTTTTTAAATTAAGTGGACAATCAAAACACTGTAGAGGACAACAAGTCATTCAAGCAATGATTTCTTGTAGGAAAAACATGATGTGTATGTCATGCACAAGGTCATTAAAAATGTTTAAGAGGGGGCTGGGTGTAATAGCTCAGACCTGTAATCCCAGCACTCTGGGAGGCTGAGGCAGGTGGATTGCGTGAACTTATAAATTTGAGACCAGCCTGAGCCAGAGCAAGACCCCCATCTCTAAAAATAGCCAGGCAGGGCTCAGTGCCTATAGCTCAGCAGCTAGAGCGCCAGCCACACACATCAGAGCTGGTGGATTCAAACCCAGCCTGCGGCTGCCAAACAACAATGACAACTTCAACCAAAAAATAGCCAGGCATTGTGGCAGGTGCCTATAGTCTCAGCTACTAGGGAGGCTGAGGCAAGAGGATCTCTTGAGCCCAAGAGTTTGAGGTTGCTGCGAGCTGTGACACCATGGCACTCTATCAAGGGTGACATAGTGAGACTCTGTCTCAATAAAAATAAAAATAGCCAGGACTTGTGGCGGGTGCTTGTAGTTCCAGCTACTTGGGAGGCTGAGGTAAGAGTATCTCTTGAGCCCAAGAGTTTGAGGTTGCTGTAAGCTCTGACACCACAGTGCTCTACCAAGGGTGTAAGACTCCCAAAAAAAAAGTTTATGGGGCTGATAGATCCTATTGCCATAGATCTGCATGTCCTTAGGAGAAAATGGTCTTGACAGTGATTCTGCCAAAAATAAGGAGAAAAGAATAAGCAATCTTTGTGCACCACCACATTGTCCTGCCAAGGTTTGTAAGAAGAAGGACTGTGATATGTAAAAGAAGAAATCAAATGTCACTCTCGCCTTGTGTATGTACACAAGGATTTGCCCATATATACTGCTTTACTAAAATTCTCACAGGGTTGAGAAATAAAATCTACCGTGAAAAGCAAGGAGGCATCCTTCCCATTCAGGTGAAAAAGAGCCTTTCTCAGCTCCATGAAAGACCCCTGGAGCTCTGCCTCCACTTCAGGTTTCTGTAAGGAAGCTAGAAAATTAGAAAAGAGAATGGAATTAAATAAATGTTAACGTTGGCCTCAGGACCCTCCCCAGTCTATTTTGTTAAAACAGCATTTCCCAAACTTGCCTAATAAGATTCAACTGGGGAAAGTAAAAACTAATCACGTTCTCAGGGGGGCACAATGGCATGTGCCTATTGTCCTAGCTACTCAGGAGGCTGCAGTGGGAGGATTGTTTAATAAGGCAATAGTGTGCGGTGCTCAGGCCTGTGAATGGCCACCACACTCTAGTCTGGGCATCATAGTGATACTCCGTCTCTAACAATAACAACAAAAAAGAAAATAAAGGAAGAAATCCGGGTTTTTAAATCCCTACCTAGAGATTCTGAAGCAAGCATGAACTGAGGCCCAGAAATCTTTCTTTTTTAACAAGCACCAAGTGATACTTATATTCAGGCCAGTTTGAGAAACATTAGCACACAGTATTTATTTCCCAAGATCCTCTTCAGGGCAATAAGAACATTTGCAATTAGTCACACTATCCCTGGAAGAGATGAAATGGGACCTCAAAACTCCTATCTGAACCTCATTCTAGCATCATTACATTTACACCTAGACCCTTAAAGAAGAAAAAGCCAAGGGCCGGATGTGGTGGCTCACACCTGTAATCCCAACACCCTAGGAGCCCGAGGCAGGTGGATAGCTTGAGCTCACGAGTTACAGACCAGCCTGAGCAAGAGTGAGACCTTGTCTCTAAAACCTAGCCAGGGTGTTGTGGTGGGCACCTGTAGTCCCAGCTACTTGGGAGGCTGAGGCAAGAGGATTGCTTGAGCCCAAGAGTTTGAGGTTGCTGTGGGCTATGACACCATAACACTCTACCAGGGTCAAAAAAGTGAGACTCT